ACTTTTACGGTAAATTCTTTCAATTATTGTATTTAGGAAACAACAGGGGAACAGTACATAATTATATTGAATTAAATAGGTATTAATTTAATCACATATAATTACAATCACACATGTTTTTACATTACATACGCAAAATTTTCTATTCTCAGTAGAAAAGAGAAAAAATACAGAATTAGAGTTCTCTACGAGGTGATTATTGTTGAAATGGAATTACAAAATGGGTAGGAGCATCTAAGTCTCGTTTCCGGGACTAGGAGACTGAAGAAACTCAACGCTTTAAAACGAAATGTCGGATCACTGATCACTGTTTATATTGCAACGTATTAGCGGTAATACTGTTGTTACACTTACATTTATGTACGTAGTGTGTGCGTTTTGTAATTTTTATATTGTCGTAGAAATAAATGTAACGCGTAAATTATATACAGTGTGTAATTTTAGTCTCGTGTGAAGTCGAATTACGCTGAAGGGTAACAGGAAGTTGCAGTATGGTATCTCCATAATGAAACAGCGCGCATCGATGCACGACGTTGAAAGGTAATGTTCCCTTTGTTAAGTTAAAAACGTTATCATTGTTTTAGACGAATTCTCTTCAACTACAGTTACATTTTGTTTTTTTGCTTTTTACGTTTAAATTAATAAAACTCTCATTCTTTTTCATGTTTACAGAAGATTGTCTCAGGATACGACGGTACATGGATTACAAGAAAAAAGCTAAAATATCTTCGATTTCTATTCGATCGACTGTTCAATTCGATTTGCAAAGGTCACGATCTGCGCGTTTCGAGAATTTAAACTTTCGTCGGAGGCACTTCCGAGGTCTTCTTGGGCTCTACGATTTCCGCGGGTGGTGCCAAAGTCGAGATTTCGGGATACTCCAATTTCGCTCCCTCTTCGCACTCGAATTTTGGACAGCAATCAGGAAACAAGGCGGTCTTGTTGGTCTTGTCTGAGAGCTTGCATTTCGGGTTTGCCTTCGGAAGTGGTCCACAATCCTCGACAAGTTCAAACAGGCGGCCGGAGTTGTCATCAGACAGCACGCAAGTTGAACGACCGCAGAATGGTGTCAGATCCCAGGATTTCGTTGGTTCGAAGGTGGCGCATTTTGTTGAGGCAAAGCACATACCGGGGAAATCTATAAACAAAATGTTCATACATAATTTTTAATAGCTAAATAGATGTATACACACACTCTCCTTATATCGCAAATCTAATTGTTAATAAGACGAAAGTTCTGAACTTCCTGGGTTTTACGAAAATGCATAATATTTATACAAAATTTCCCCTCATTTATTTACTGTTTTTGTTTTGCAATAATTTACAGTTGTCACTACATGTGTCATAAATGATTACGAGTAATTTAATAGTATTACAGACTGAATCATTGTTCTCGTGTGTAGATTGTGGAATACAAGTTTTCGAATTACATAAAATATATTACATAAAGAAAGTATCGGATTGATATATTGCATTAACTGGAACACTAGATGTGATTGCATAAGAGAACACAGTACTTTATGCAATAAAATGTAACACCTCGTAGGCTTTCTTTCTAAAGAAAGGTATCCATATCGTTTTAGCCCAATTGTCAGGAATAACTGATATCCTCTACCTGGAATATCCAGCAAAGTTAGAATTGGATTTTTCAACGAACGAGACAAATGAGATCAATCTTCCCGCACAACTATTTAAAATTCTTCTTATATTGCATTTAATATGCTATTACTACCTTAAAAGGTTTTGCATTCCAAGTGAATCAACTGGTGCATTTTCACCAGTTACCGTGATGATATAAAAGTAAAATTCCAACCAATGTACATATATGACTAACCATATGCATATACATATATACAGATTGCAATGCTTCGACAACGCATCACTGCTGTGCACGATGCGTAGACGGGACGCATTATCTGATTACCTGCACACCCGTGAAGGGTGTCGTTACTTTCTAACCTGCAACTGTTTTCAACGAACGAAGCCGTCGCGCCTTCTAAACTCACACAGATACGCGTCTATGGTATTTCATTGTATCGCGTCTAGATGGATCGTAGATTCGATAGAGAGGAGTTTCGTTGGCGACGATCGTGTTAGAAACTTCAAGGAGAAACACTTTCGCTGTCACACCGTGTTACCGCTTGTGTAATTATCGCGAACTCTGACTAAATCGATCGTTATACTTTACCTCCTTCTTTTTTCTGGTTTCCGAGTTCCTCAGAGGACTAATTAGGGAAATGAGCTGCTTGAAATAATTGAAAGATCGCTTGCTTGAAAAGATAACATAACATATTGTACAAATTAGACGTCCAATTAATTGCAAGTGCTGTTTAAAGTAATTAGAGAATCATTCTATACGAGTGCCTTTATCGCATAGCGAAGAAATCCAACAGATGTCAAATATTTTAGTGAAACGTTGAATGAACAATACATTTTTTTTCTTTTCCTAAGTATTTTCCCAATATAGAATGCTACACTTAAATAGAACAGAATATGCAGTCTTAATCTCTGACTGAATATAAAAAGATACCACAAACGTCGAAGAAACACAAAAGGTAAGCTAGAGAAGATAAAAAAGGAAGAGAACGTCGTTAACTCGAGCACAAGTTACTCATTGCCTTCTACGAAGTGTAATTTATTCAAATAATGACGTGTTTGTTACCGTTTTCTCAATGCCAGCTTCGTTACGTCGAAGCTTTTTTAACACGATGGGCGTTCACACGAAAGCAAAAAATGTTATGGTTTACAGCATCAGTTCTGGCGGGATATT